AGTGCCGTGTAAAGATAAACAAGAATGTATTGATAATTTGAAGAACAAAATAATATCCTTAGAAAATTGTAATAAAATAATGAAAAATAGAGAAAAGAAAAATTTTAGAATGTTTGCTCAGCAACAAAGAAGGTGGACGACATCTAGAAAGAAATTTGTATCGGAAATTCAGAAATTAAAATCCCAAACAGCGAAATTTAGGAAAAAACAGAACAGATTGGAGAATTTGGAAAAACATCTAAAGCATATTTTTACAAAGACGCAGATTAACGCATTGCTAGAAAAGAAGGAAAAAATCAGGTGGACTAGTGAAGATATTTCACGTTGCATTGTCATAAGAGCTCTATCATCTAAAAGCTACGATTTTTGGAAAGAAAAAATGGGAATTCCTTTACCTAGCACTAGCACATTAAAGAGATGGTGCGCTAAATTTTCATGTAGTCCAGGAATTCAGAGTGATGTTCTTGCTGTAATGAAGGAAAGATGCCAATATTTGAATTCTGTAGAAAAAATATGCGTTCTCAGTTTCGACGAAATGCACATAGATTCTAAACTGGACCAAATTCTCGGTCCTTTTCAAAAAGTGTAGTTTGTTTTAATCAGAGGTCTCATTTCGCAGTGGAAACAACCAATATTTTTTGATTTTAACACTCCAATGAAGAAAGAACTTCTTTTTTCACTCATAAGACATATTCAATCATCTGGAGTAGAAGTGAAAGCAATAGTGTCTGATTTAAGAGAATCTACTACTTTGTGGAAAGAGTTACAGATTTCGATTAATAGTTCTCAGTTTCCAAATCCAGTATTCCAAACGAAAAAAATATGGTTTTTTGCAGATTTAGCGCACTGCCTCAAATTACTGAGAAACCACTTTTTAGATATAGGATTTGTTTTAGAAGATGGAACTGTTTTAAATGTTGATATTATTAAAGAGGTTTTAAATAAAGATTCAAGAGAAATTAAATTGTGTCACAAACTAAAACCAAATTATTTAATGGTCAAGGGAAACGAGAGGCAAAAAGTCGCTCCAGCAAAAACATTATTTTCAAGAAGTACAGCAAAAGGTATACTCCACCTCACAGGAGATAAAAAAGCATCCGACTTCTTTGAGTTAATCGACAATTTTTTCGATATTATGAATAGTACGAAAACATACCCTCCTTCAGATAAAATACTTAAAGCAGCATTTGGATTAAATGAACATCATGAAAAACAAATTCAAGTTTTGGAATTAATGAAGAAAGTCATTGGTGGATTAAGAGTTCAGGGAAAAGCCAACTTAGTGCCTTTCCAAAAAGGAATAATAATTTCAATAAATTCTCTTTTTGGCCTACACCAGGATTTGAAATCATCGTATGATGCTAAATATATTTTAACCTCTAGATTAACTCAAGATGCACTTGAAAGTCTCTTTAGTCAGATTCGAGGGCTTGGTAGGTTTAATGACCATCCATCACTTGTGAAGTTATACGCCGCTTAAAGCAATTAATACTTGCTAATAAGCTGCCAAATTTATCTTCAAAAGTATGCATGACTAAAGAAAGGAGAAATATTGATTCATATTTAACATCCGAAATACTTGAAAGGGCTTTGAAAACTGAGGAGGAAGATGCTTTTCCATTAAATACTATTGATGATTTGGATTTCATAGAGGAACCTTCTCCTATGGCATGGGAATTAGAATTGAATTCCGACAGACAATTTTCGACAGCCGAAAAAGAAGCATTAACATATGTTGCAGGTTATATTGCCTATCGTGTGCTGAGACAAAGACCCATCATTGGGAACAATATCTAAAAATACTGCTGATGAACCAATATTTAATTCAGAATGGATTAAATTATTGTCCTTAGGAGGTTTGACTACACCTTCTCATTCATGGATGAATACAGTTTATGAGTTCGAAAACATATTTTGTGCAGTTCATGGTACAACTTACTATAAAGGGAAGCATGTAATTGGCTCTTTAATTAATAAACTGGAGAAATATTATCCTGAAGTTAACAGAGAAGCAATTCGTTTATTTTGCAGAGTGAGAACTTTTATTAGAATATGTTTTTCCCCAAAGAAAAGCAACCCAAAAGGCAAAAAAAATGGATTGCTTCGAATGTGGCAGCCAATAAATAATGTTTCAACAACTTATAGTTGCATTCGACTCTACAAGTAAGCATATATAATATGTTTTGATTTGAAATATTTCTAGATGGCATTTTAGAAGTTAATAGCATAAAGCATATTTCAAATGAGAACTAATTCTGTTAAGTTATTGTTACAGTTATTTTTATTGTATCCTCTGTTATTATTGATTCGATTTTGTGTTAGCTTAGCATTCTAGATAAAATATATATAAAGTATAATATTAAAGTAATTGGCATAAGAAGACCTGCCCCCTAACCCCCACTTTTGAAAAATTAAATAATTATTTTAGGTACTGTGAGTAAAGTTGTTTTGTCTAAATTAAGATAAGAATCTTACATGTATTTATTTAAATGAAATATTGATGTAAGCCTAAGTTACAAAATTATTTTTAAAAAATTATGTTATTATATTGAATCGGGAGAAAAAATATGCCAATGTAAAATTTACAATTAGGCTGAAACTCAAACTTAGATTAGCAGAAATTTTGCCATATATAACCATACATGTTTAAAACTATGCCAATTTAAGGTTGTTTTTGATTAATTTTAAATAGCTGTTATTATAGTTATCTTAGAAGCAGTAGTACAGTTCTCTTAGTTAACATGCAGATAAAGAAATGATTAGAAACAAACATGCATTTAAAGAAAAAGAAAAAAAAAAAATCCCTGCAAATAAAAAAAGGAACTTTATGCTAAGAGTAGCGCACTTTATCTATTATTTTAAAATTGAGTAAGTACTATTAAATTTTGTAATGTTCAGTGTAAAATGCATACTGCAGTAACATTGTCTCTTCCAAATTATAGCTATCTTTCACACACAGCTCATTTTAAACACTGGTTCTTCAAATTTAAAACGCTAATTTCTATGTTGTCAATTGCACCTCCGCGCTCAGTGGCATCATTGCTACGTCATCACTCCTCACTGCATGTTTCAGGGGGAAACACTCTATGAGCTAGCCCTTCTCTTTAGTCCTGATGGAGAGGAAGGAACATTCCAAAGAATTGCCAGATGCTATTATTGGACTGGGATGAAAAAGTATATATCCGACTATGTGAAAAGCTGTCCTGAATGCAACCGCTACAAGGCTACCAACCAAAAGCCAGCTGGACTGCTAAGAACTCCTGTCTATTCTCAACATTTTGAGATCATATCTATTGATTTGTTTGGGCCACTGTCAAAAACTGACACTGGAAAACAATGGATCTTCATTGTCGAAGACTGTGCTACGCGATAGGTTGAATTATTTCCTCTTGCTCAAGTTATAGCACGCGACTGCGCTATAACCCTCATCGAAGAAGTATTCATGCAGCATGGTGTATCACGAAGAATCATCAGTGATAACGGCACCCAGTTTATCAGTGCAGTCATGTAACAAGTTTGCTGCACATTAAATATCAATCAAAACTTGATACCAGTTTACTTTCCTCAGTCAAATCCTGTGGAACTGAAAAATAGAGACTTAAAACCTCGTCTTCCAATCTTTGTAGGAAATGCGCATGATAACTGGCATTCGAAACTCCCAGTTATTCGCTTTGCTATGAATACGGCCGTCTGTGACATTACAGGCCATACACCAGCATTCCTAATGTTTGGAAAAGAGCTGAGGACTGTCGACGACGTTGTTCACGATTTCAAAGCTGTGGTTGAAAATGATAACTTTGTTCCTGAAATTACCCCTTATCTTAAACGATTCGCAACTATTACAAAGGACATACGAGAGCGTATCGAAATAAAGCAAGATCAACGTAAAAAGCAATATGATAAAGGAATTCACCAGGTGATAAGGTATGGGTCAATTTACATCCCGTTAGCAATGCCAAAAAAAAAAAAAAAAAAAAAAAAGACTTCAACGTTCATACCAAAGCATTACAGTCCGTACTTGGTAATGACACAGAAATCACCTACTTCCTATGTCATTTCAAGCCTTCATAAACCATCAGAACCCTTAGGAACATGCTATACGTCTGCACTAACACCTTTCAAAGACTCGTCTACTTCTCCCATTCTTCCACTCAGGAAGAGAGGTAGACTGCCAAAAGTTACTTTGCATTCCTGAAATAATCAATAACGTGTGATTCCGTACAGTGCTCCAAAGGGAGGTCCCCTTGCCCAGGAAACCAAAAAAACTGAGACTAGAGACAATGTTAGAAGAGCTCCCAAATCCTCCAGTTCTCTTTTCCGGGACGTCAGCTGAGCCAGACGGGGAGTTTGTAACCAATCCTTTAACATAAACTGTTGGACTAACTGTGACAACAAGGCTGCCCTGTGGTGAAGTAGCCAGAGAAGTACTTCAATAAAAGCCAAGCGTCCCACTTGATAGGTTGTATCAGACTCTTGCTCTGTAATGTCCGTGTGTAACTTAAACCTGTTAATAAATACTTGTTACACTATACAGCACTCTTCTTTTGACCCAATCTAAAACTACCCCCTTCACAATACTTAATTATTGATAACTTAAAACAAAACATGACTACACCTAACAATTCGCGACACAACAATGATGAATTACTGACCAACATATTTTAGTTCACGCATCACTATAAAGACTGTTACCAGGATATGTGATAAATATATGGTGCCCTCTGCAGGGTTTGAGCCTCAGATCTAGTTGCTAGCTGGATGTGCTCAACTTAACACCATATGAGCTTGCACAAGAGAATGGGATAATCTCTTAAAATTACAGTGATAATGTAGCCATTGTTGAGTGAATATTTTATTTAGCACTCATGTAAAAGAAATCAATCTTCAGAATTCTTTTTCTTTACTATTAATAAATATGTAATATATTGATACAACAAAAAAGTTTTTTTTTTCCCATTCTGTGTGTCTGAAAATGAAATTGTAATATATTTTTTTTAAAGGAAAATCTTGAGGATGAAGACTCTTACATTTATTTACCAGCCATCCAAGGTTTGTCATTACTTGCTGATTGTGATGTAGAATTGGTTCTTCCTACTTTATTAAAGGAATTTCAAAACCCTGGTAAAAAAGCATGTGAGGTCATATTAAAAATTGGAGAGGTTTTATTGAAAATTTGTCGTCTGTTAGGTATGTATTATACATATTTTTCTCTGCTTCCAATTTTTGCTAAATATTGCTTGTATTTTTCTTATGGTTGATGTAGAATCATTTAATGATATTTTTGTGCAGCTTTTAAATATATTGTTTTCTTTAGAAAAGTTTATTTAATAATTTGTCTTGTCTCACCATCTTAGAGGAAATATCTTGTGAAGAAAGAAAGCCGGGGAATAAAAATAATGCTAGTTATTTTGGGAGGGAGGGGAGTGTTAATTAATGCTGAACCTTTTAAGCATTTAATATCACATAAAAATATGAAGATGGAAGAATCTAATAGAAAAACAGAGTAAGAATCAATTTAGGCAGAGAATCTGATAAGCTGAATCACCAAAAATATTTCTAAATTCACTTGCAACTTTCCATTTGTAAAATTTGTACATAAGGAAGCTGACTAATTAAATTGTGAACTCACAAATTAGATAAAAGACAGTATTGAGTGATGTTGAGCTTGAAGTTTTAAGTCTCATCAGCATATTGGTTAGGCAAGACAGTAGACGAAATTAGTTTTCTATCTAGAATTCTTTGTTTTTTACAATTTGAAATCTGATGGATCTCGTAAAACAAGCTTTTGAATATTGTAGTAAACTTTTATGAATGGATACATCTATTTATCACTGTTTGATATAGTTAAGCACAGTTTTGCATCCTTACAAACAAGCTGTGTGAGTTTTTGTGATTTTCTTCAAGAGTAAAATAGTAGGAGACAATTTTCCTTAAAAAAATCTATGATAGCATTGGGCAGGTAACTCTCACATGCCCTTGGGCAGGTAACCCTCATATGCGTTTCCATTAATTATTAAACACCAGCAGGCGAAATCGTCACTAGAAAAAATTCCATGGCTGGATTAATTTTCATATCAACAGACAATAATCAAGTTGATAAAATAATCTCTGATTCAAGAATACACTCATCTAACTTGACACCAGGTTGCTGAATGCATAATCATCATTAAAACACCGTCATGAATTTTTATTGAAAAGCTGCAGATGCATAAAGCTGATGGAAATTTTGAAACAGGGCATAATATACTTTGTATTATATGAGGGCTGGAACTTTAATAGTGGCAACACAGCTGAAAAAATGCTACGCAACAAAACCAAAGAATATCGCGTATACCACACGTGAACTACATACCTACCTTACCTCTCTGCCTACGTCACGTGCGAGCGGAGTGACGCGAAAAACGGATCCTTGTATTAGCTCGCGGTCTAAAGTAAGTGTTGTCAGGATGTTTTCAAAACAAGAACAACGTTGTTGGATAAAAATTGAATGTGCCAGAGGTCGTACAGCACGACAGTATCATCAAGGGCTTCAAGAGGCTTGCGGGGAATCTGCATTGCCTTACAGAACCATAGCAAGATGGGTGAAAGCATTCAATGAAGTACGGCAAAACGTGGCAGACATGCTGCGGCCAGGTCATCCGAGTGTCAGCGATGCAGACGTGCAAGCTGTTGCCGCAGTGATCGCCGCCAAACATTCATCAGCTGGCCAGACAAACAAGATTAGCGCATATGACTGTGCTGCACATTCTGAAGGAATGCCTGTCCATAAGAAAAATTGCTTCACGATGGGTTCCACATCACTTGACGGAAATGCAGAAATGGCTACGATACGATGCTGCCCGAACCCACCTGGAGCGCTATGAGCGCGAAGGAGATGCTTTTTTTTACGGCCATATCATTACATTGGATGAGACTTGGGCGCGATCGTACCAGCCAGAACTGAAACGCCAATCAAACGAATGGTGTCATCACAGGTCACCACGACATTCGAAATTTCGTCAGAACCCCAGCAATGTGAAAGTTATGGTGATTATCATGTTACAACTGTGATGGTGTCATTCTAACACATACCGTTCCCCCACAGCAGACCGTCACTGCGCAGTATTACTGCTCGTTTTTGGATCACAATCTCCGACCAGCTTTGAGAAAAAAATGGCGACACTTTCTGCAGAACGCTCCTCCTCTCATTTTGCGTGACAATGCTTGGCCGCATGCAGCGCAAGCTGTGACTGATTTGTTCAAGCGATGGGGCTGGGAAGTGCTTTACCATCCACCATACTCCCCAGATCTAAGCCATGTGACTATGGCTTAATTCCTAAGGTGAAGGAACCACTTCGTGGCTTTGCTTCCAAACTGTTCCTGAGATTCTTGCGGCAGTAAACCGGTCCATTAACAAAACATGCTACAGGTATTCTGCGACTTCCACATCGTTGGAAACGGGTTGTACACAATGCTGGCGACTATATTGAAGGACTGTAAAACATGGTGACATGAATCACTTTTGTATTCCTTGTAAATAAATAGTTGCCACTATTAAAGTTCCAACCCTCGTATATATATATATATATATATATATTGTAATTTTATTGAGATGAAAAAGCAACCATAGCAATATGTGGGAATTAATACTACTGTCAGATTAAGGTTGAAAGAGTTGATGAAATATGAACATTATTTTGTAGATATTATTTACATGAGTTTATTGCATGTAATCAGAAGGTCCAAGAACAGTTTTATTTAGCCCAGATATTCCCAACCTTTTACTTCCATTGATCCCTTGCATTTTACACTGTTATATATAGAATATAATATAACCATACCTGCCAACTTTTACGAATTTTTCGTAATTTTTACGAAAATGGGTTTGTCTTTACAATTTTATGATCGTAATCCATTTTTTACGATTTTTTTCGTTTTTCAAGTGATTTTAGTGATTTTTGTTAAAATTTTAGAATTTTTCGCCAATTGCATCGTGTTTTACCGCAAACTACCGACTACTTCGAATGCAGTAACCTGCGGTTTCTCCCAACTCGCCGCTTAACCAGTCAATCCAATGCGCTGAACTTGTTTCTCCCACTCTTTGTGTACGCCAGATTATTTTTTGCGCGTTCGCTTCAGAAGCAAGGGAATTACTCAGCGAGCGTGGATTTTCGCGTTCTGTTTTTTTTTCTTTTTTTCTTTGCACATGCTACGAATTTTCATAATACGTCGTTGTTATGAAATGAGTTTAAAAAAAACCGTATTCTCAATATTTTCAGCCTGCCTACAAAGCCGAATTTCTAACAATTAAAGAATCCTTCAAAGGAAATAACTGTGCATTTTGCAACGTGTGCGTGTGTGACTTCATAATAAGTCACGGTGGAAGAAGCGACATTGTGAAGCATGTTAAGTCTAAAAAAGCATGAAGTTAATGCTTCAGCTTCGACAACGTCAAAGAAAGTGGATGATTTTTTTTTCAAATTCCGCTACGAATTCGGATGCCGATGTCATTTTGGCAGAGTGTTTGTTTACTGCATTCCTCATCGAACACAACGTGCTGCTAAGCGCTGTTCTGGAGAAGATAGATTTGATGTCCTCGTTGGTACCTTAAAAAGAATAAAAAGAGCTGATGGAACACCAAAATATGATAGACTAGCAAGAGTTTTATTTGCTATTCTCGTAATTCCACACAGTAATGCTGAGTGCGAGAGAGTCTTCAGTGTTGTGAAGAAAAACAAAACTATGTTTCGTTTTTCAATTTCACCAAAAACTCTAGAAAACATTTTAATTGCTAAATGTTATGAGGAAACTAATTGTTGTGGACAGGAAATTTTCCAAAGAATTTTTTGGCTAAAGCCAAAAAATGCACTCTAAATTCATTGCAATAATTTTTTGTGTAACATTAAGTTCTTGTTTTATGTTTCCTAATAATTTTTTTAGTTACTACTTAATTGAGATTTACTAATGTAAGTACAATTTTCTTTTTTCTATTTGTATAAATTGTTATTTTTTTAATATCAAAGCATGATATTAATTCTTCGTGTTCTTCTGAATTTTGGAGAAATCTTCTGAATTTGGGGGAGAAATCTTCTGAATTTTTATCTTTAGAGGTTGGCAGGTATGCATAACCATAATATAAATAATTGCATATAAATAACTTAACAATTAGACAAAAAGATATAAACGAAAGTTTAAAAAAATAGTTTATTAGATTTATGTTTTATTATTTTTTATATTATTATTATTATTAATCTTACAAATATATATAAGTTTTCAGAAAATCACGGTTTCTAATGGTACAAAAGTTCAATTTTAATGAATGCAATGATGTCTGTGCAATGTTTGTAATATTTGGCATAAAATTGCTTAAATTTTATACCACCTCATTCAAAAACATTTAACGTGCTTCTCTTTTTCCATAGTAAATTTTTGACTTTACAGCTTCTACTAGGGGAGAAGAAGGAAGGGTTCATAAAGTTGTTTGGCAACAACTTCTGTTTCGGAATAATTTTCTAGGATTATTTTAAACTCTTAAACTTAATTAACCCATGTGTTTTGAGTAAGACTTGCTCTTGAACATTCACTTTCTGTACAATGAATTCTTTCTGCATCATAATATCAAGATAAGATATATATATCACAATTCAGTGGTTCTACGAGCAATGCTAGCATATTCAAATTTTCAATGTCTTGGAAGTGAATATTAAAATTTACTTGTGAATTTTCCAAGTATCTTGTATAGAACAGTATATCTTCTGAGAAAGTTCTGCATTCTTTGTAATTGTTTTGGTTATGCTTTGTGTGTTCTTGCATTTTAACTTTTTATATTGCTTTTTTTCTTAAAAAAATTATATATTTAAAACGATATTGTTGATTTTTAAAATAAGTTAACCCTTTCATGGGCCGTGGGAAGGTTACTTCCCACTTACATGATCCTGGGAAATACACCTGTGGGAAGTGCAAAATCCGCTATAATATATTGGCTTTGGTATTATAACGTTGGGAACTCTAATTCCCACTCCAGTATAGTGATGCCATCTGTGTTCAATCGATTGAAAACAGAATTAGCACATTTGTTTTGAAAATTCGAACGCGTTGTATGAGATCTGTTCCACTGAGACATCTGTTTTGATTTGACATTTGCATTGCTATACGATTCTGCTACAAATGTAAGTAAACACTGTTTTTATTATAATAACGTTCTCTTATTTTGTATATTTCTGCAGTAACTATATAATATTGAACAATAAATAATGGGTGAAAAGTGAAAATGCTATTGCATCATGTATGAAAGCCATGTGCAATAGGTATGTTGAAAAAATTAGAATATTTTTGAAAATACATTTGAAAGTATCATTCAATTCTACTGAGAAAGAAAAGGATTATTTTGGCATGATTTTTACTGAGGAAATTTTACAGAATATTGTTGACGAAACTCATATGCAAAGCAGCCTAAGAAAAGGAAGAGATTGGGTCATACCACAAAAGACATTATCCTGAACTGGAAAGAAATCACATCAGAAGAATTGAAAGCATGTGTAGGTATGCATATACTCATGGGTATACATCAATTGCCTGAACTGAAAAAATACTGGAGCACAGACCCTATTCTCAATGTTCAATCAGTAGCAAGAATAATAATCGCAAAGAGGTTCAAAAAATAACTGAGACTTTACATGTAAACGATAACAGCACAAATCCATGTGGGCAACTTGGGCTTGATAAATTCCATAAAGTCAGACCAATCCTCTCACAGCTCAATGATTCCACACCTAAAGTCTATGAACCTTCATCAACATTATGAATAGACGAACGTATGATAGCTTTCAAAGGGAGAACTTCATTGAAGCAGTATATGCCAATGAAGACTATAAAAAAGAAGTTACAAGGTGTGGTGTTTAGCAGACTGTAAGACTGGATATATTCAAAAATTTGAAATTTATTGTGGAAAAGAAACTTCTGATAATAAGGATAAAATATTGAGCTTAGGGAAAACACTAATAACTAAACTAACGGAAGATGTGAAGCAGACAGGTCATCTTATAGCCTATGATAACTATTTGACATCTTTTAGGCTTGCAAAAAGTTTACTTATAAGTGGTCTGTTTTCTGTGGGGACTGTGAGGCCACAAAGGAAGGATCTCCACCAATACTGTAGGCTAATAACAAACTACAAAGGGAGAAATCAATGTTCCTAGCTAAGGAAGGTGTTGCTGCAATAAAGTGGATGGACAAAAAGGCTGTTACATTGTTGACTACTGCACACAATTCAGCGATTATTACATCTGTAAATCGTACAAAAAAGGATGGTACTAAAACTGAAGTACCTTGCCTTAAAGCTGTTGCCGTGTATAACGATATCATGGAAGGGGTTGATTGCTTCGATCAAAGAAAAGAAAGATACCAAATGGGAAGAAGATCTGTAGAATGGTGGCGTCGTATTTGTATTTTCCTACTGATCTTGGCATCGTAAATAGTTTTATGCTGTGGCAAGTAAACAAGAGAAACAGAAGTTTAGACCAGCTAACATTCCGTATAGCATTAGCTCGTCAACTAACAGACGGATATTCCTCGAAAAAAGAGAGTCCGTCCTGCTAGCTTCCAAGTAAAACGGTGTGCAGTGATATACGCTTAGCCAATGTGGGAAATCATATGCCAAAGATGGCTTCCAACTATAGACGATGTAGGAAATGTAGCACAAAGGCCCAAGAAAAGAGGATCCGCTATATGTGTGCAGTATGTGATGTACCCTTGTGCATTGCAACATGTTTCTCATCTTTTCACGGCAAATAATCGCCTTTACATTGCATTTTCTCTATGACCATAAAAGGTCTCGTGGGAAGTATACTTCCCACCCCTAGAATTTAAATGTAAACAAAAAATTTGGCAAAATAAAATATATTTCCTTAAATGCTATTGTTTAGTTGATAATAAAACATAAAAAAAGGGAGAAATTCAAAAGAGAAATAAATGGCCCACGAAAGGGTTAAATAATTTTTCTTTATTTTCCCTTATAATTTAAATTCCTTATGATTTTATATTAAGCAATAAAAAGTGTTGCTTTAAAAAATTTTTGTATTTCTAGGAGAGTTTGTATATAAATATAAGGAACAAATGTTGCATACATATTTGATTGGTGCAAAACATGAAGATCCAAGAATCCGCTCATCTAGTCTCTCAAATTTAGGTGAAGCTTGTATTTATTTGAAGTTTAATATTGAAGGTCATTGGCTTCAAGAAGTAAGCTTATAATTTTTATTAGAAATAGTTGCTTATTTGTTTAATCTATATAAAGGAATAGCTCTTAAGAATAAAATTTTTATTTTATTAAAAAACATTCTGATTGTACGAGGGTTGGAACTTTAATAGTGGCAACTATTTATTTACAAGAAATAAAAAAGTGTACAACCCGTTTCCAACGATGTGGAAGTCACAGAATACCAAGCGCCTGTTTTGTTGATAGTTTGAATGTGGACCGGTCTACTGCCGCAAGAATCTCAGGAACAGTTTGGAAGCGAGTGCCATGAAGTGGCTCCTTCATCTTAGGAATTAAGTCATAGTCACAAGGGATTAGTTAGATCTGGGGAGTATGGTGGAGTGTAAAGCACTTCCCAGCCCCATCGCTTGAACAAATCAGTCACAGCTTGCGCTGCATGCGGCTGAGCATTGTTATGCAAAATGAGAGAAGCGTTCTGCAGAAAGTGTCACCGTTTTTTTCTCAAAGCTGGTCGGAGATTGTGCTCCAAAAATGAGCAGTAATACTGTGCAGTGACGGTCTGCCGTGGGGGAACGGTATGCGTTAGGATGACACCATCACAGTCGTACACGAGGATCACCATAACTTTCACATTGCTGGGGTTCTGACGAAATTTCGAACGTTGTGGTGACCCGTGATGACGCCATTCGTTTGATTGGCATTCAGTGTGGCTAGTACGATCGGGCCCAAGTCTCATCCAGCATAATGATACGGCGTAAAAAAGCATCTCCTTCGTGCTCATAGCGCTCCAGGTGGGTTCGGGCAGCATCGTATCGTAGCCATTTCTGCATTTCCGTCAATTAATGTGGAACCCATCGTGAAGCAATTTTTCTCATGGACAGGCGTTCCTTCAGAATGTGCAGCACAGTCATACGCGCTAATCTTGTTTGTCCGGCCAGCTGACGAATCACGTTGGTGGCGATCACTGTCCATTAGTGCGGCAACAGCTTGCACGTCTGCATCGCTGACACTCGGACGACCTGGCCGCAGCATGTCTGCCACATATTGGCGTCCTTCATTGAATGCTTTCACCCATCTTGCTACAGTTCTGTAAGGCAATGCAGATTCCCCGCAAGCCTCTTGAAGCCCTTGATGACACTATCGTGCTGTACGACCTCTGGCACATTCAATTTTTATCCAGCATCGTTGTTCTTGTTTTGAAAACATCCTGACAACACTTACTTTAGACCGCGAGCTAATACAAGGATCCATTCTTCGCGTCACTCCGCATGCGCGTGACGTAGGCAGGACGAGTCTTTTTGCCGAGATGTAAGGTAGGTATGTAGTTCACGTGTGGTATACGCGATATTCTTTGGTTTTGTTGCATAGCGTTTTTTCAGCTGTGTTGCCACTATTAAAGTTCCAACTCTCGTATATAATGTACTGTCACTTCCATGAATCTTTATAAACAGTGAGTATTAGAACACACAACTAATAAAGAAAGTAAAAACACTATTTCAGAAGAATTTGAAGTAAAATAATAGAATAGTTGAATAATTTGTGCTTGTGAAATATAGAATGTCATTGTACATGACTAGAACATTGATGAATGCTTTTTGTATTTCATAATATTTTTCTTCAACATATATTTAATTATTATAATTTTTATTTAGCAGTAGTTACCATTGCAAAATATTTTGTTCTTAATTCAGTAGTAGAATTTGTGATTTTAATTTTGTCAGCAATAACTGTTTTTACATATAAAGAGCAGTTTAGTTCCTAATGTTCTTGATACATGACACAAATTTTAGAATTGAAATAACAATTTGAGTAACTGTATTTATTCTGTGGCAGTGATTTAGCCACTATACTCCAAGCTTGTCAGAAGATTCATTAAATGGAAGGCCAAAGACTTCAATAAACCATAAAATTAACTTTATTAAAAATTAAAAGGTAAAATATGAAATAAAATACATGATGATAAGCTGATGTCAAATGTTGATCATGAACAAACAGGAGCAGTGAAGTAAAAGTGCAAATGAGTCTCTCGGCAAAAAGTTCAAGTCTTTATACTCACGCTATAGCAAGTGGGCACGGGTACATCGCAGCAAACATGGATACTGCATGCAAATGTTAAAATACAAATATTCTTGTAGGAATGCAAGTACTCCGCCACAATTCTAACTACTTGTGGCAGAGCTATATCACTTAACATGTTTTTCAAATAACAAGTGTTCAGGCTTATTTGTTTTAAAAATCGAAATGGCTTAACTTCATCATTTTCATAATATTATAACTGAATAAATTTCAAATAAACATAAAATAAACTGCAAAAATCTTTTTTTTTTTTTTTTTTTTTTTAATTTTTCATTTATTAAGTATAAATATATAATTGTACAAAAATGTACTAGTCATAAGTAATATTTCCCAAAAAAAAGGGGGGGGAATGAAAATAAATAATACTGTATTTGAACATTTGAAAAATCTTTCTCATAAAAGAGGACAACCTTATAAAAATGAGAAATTGGGGAGTGGGGAGGAAAACTAATATTATCTTGTAACTTGGAGATTTCCTCAGAAACTCCCTTTTTGAACATCAGTGATAATTAAGTTACAAATTTTGAGATGTTCTGTATTTGTTTTTATTCAATGTATGAAATCATTAATGATTCTTTTCTTTATACTTATGGAAGTATCACAAGATTTTAGAATCCACTATTTTTTCTTGCAGTGTATGAAGATTGCCTATTTGCATTATAAAATATGTAGTTATTTTTAATTAATGAGTTACTATTTAGAGAATTGGATGTGACTAATTTTTGGATTCAATAATTCAATATTATTTTTTCTACCATTTCTGTTAAATAGTGTTTTATTGTATACATTCCCAAAAGTCTTTTCCCAGCTTTTATATTGATCTCCAATAATAAATAGAAAATAGGGTCAGTTTGAATGCCCTAGTATGCATCAGACCATACTGAGCATGTCAAAACCTGTCCTAGCAGAGCTCTGAAATGAACAAGAATCATTAAAAGTCTTTGCGGAACAAAGTGGGAAACTTTTCCTAAGCCACTTAGAACAACATATGCACGTCACTAATTAGGTCAATCATGGAGTATGCTTCTGGACTCACACTTCCAAAACCATCTTGGGAACCATCTTGAGTGTCCAGGCAAAGGTCACAAAAGACATTACCAGTGCAGTATCTTCCACCAATAATTTAAAAGTAATTCAGGAATGTGGCCTCAAAAGCCTCGGAAAAAGGAGACAATGTAATGTAATAAAATTTACAAACAAGGAAAGAAGCTGTCTACCAGAACACATTGCAAGAAAAACCTTTGAAAATTATAATGGCAGTATTAGACTGAAAAATTCATCTCCTATGCTATTTTACAAAAATATTAGAGCAGTTTTCAGCCTTGATCACAACAAATTTTCTATCTTCCAAGAGCCAAGATTTCCATCCATGCTTTCTTATGAAATCTAAAATAATACTCAATGTACTAGAGCCCTGCAATAAAAAGGAATTGAATGGTATCATTAAAATGAAAAGTATCAGGATACTTGAACAGTATCCAAAAGAGGACTTTGTACACACTTATACCGATGGTTCATCAGATGAGACAAGCACTAATGGAGGTTCTGGAGTATTTCTGACTACCCCAGGCGATAATTTTAGTGTTGATACATAAAAATTGGTGCTGGAGCTCCCTCCCCTCCCCATTGTCTCAGATTTCACTTGTAAGCATCTGGCAATAGTAGAGGCACTTGACATGTATAGATCCCTTCCCATTTCTGATTTAGCAAAAGGAATCATTGTCTTCTGTGACTCAAAGGGAGCTTTATAGGCAATCCTGGATAGAAGGTCCTAGATCAGTGTTTCCCAACCTTTTTTTCCTCGTGAACCAAAAGAAAGGTCCGAAAAAATTTGACGAACACCCTATGTAGTCGTTAATGACAGGTAAGGAAAAAAAAGCAATAAAATTTGATAAAATATATATTTTTCATATTGCAGAATAATTGATTATATTAATCATGAAACATTTAAATAAAACATTAATAAGACTAAAATGATGGCTATGAAAGTTGTAAACAAGATAAATTTAACAAACTGGTTCTTATGTTTTACATTTGGAAAAACTCTTAATGAGATATTTGTGGCTGTTTGATAGAATAAAGCAATTCAAAGTTAGGCTCAATATCTGACAATTTCAGTTTTAGATCAGGTTCTGCATTTAACCTGTTTCTGTATTTATCTTTCAGATAAGAATAATTGAAAATCCTTACTCGCACAGGTTGTGCAAAATGGTAATAGAATTTCAATGGCTTTTTTTGACAGAACAGGATATTCATTTTGTATACTGAGCCAGAAGTCAATTAAAGATTGATCTTTAAAAATTCCATCTAGAGAACTGTCACAAGATAACTTCTATGAGTTTTTCTTTTTCCAATATATTTAGAGAGGTTTCTGAACTTACATTTCCTTTAAATGGATTACGTATCCAGTTGTTTGAGGTGGATATATTGCATCTTTTGGGAAAGGATGATCAATAAAAAATGCTTGAACTTCAGACTTCAATTCAAACAAACGCTTCAAAACTTTACCACGGGAAAGCCATCTAACTTCTGTGTGAAGTAGTAAAGAAACGTGGAAACTTCCAAAATCCTCATGAAGCATACGGAATAGATGGCAGTTTGTAGCACGCTATTTTATAAAGTTCACAATTTTCACAACATCACTTAAAGTAGTAGATAACTCTGCAGGAATACGCTTACATACTAAAGTTTGTCTATGAATACAACAATGAGTCCATTGAATTTTCTCGTTGATCTTCTTCACCCGTGCCACAAAACCAGAACATTTTCCTGCCATTGATTTTGCACCATCTGTACACACGCCCACACAATAAGACCAGCTTATTCCATTCTTTTCAAAATACCCATTGATCATATCGAAAATCGCTTCTCCAGTTGTGTAGGTTTTCAAAGGTTTTGCAAATAGTACATCTTCCTGAACAATATTCGTAAAAAAAAAATCTAACGT